TAAAGAAGTATATTTATGTATATAATTTTATTTAGTTATTCAACCGTTCAAAATGTTTCTTTAAAAATGCTTATCGTAGCCATATAAAAATATCAGCAAGGAACAAAAATATTCAGATTGAATTCAGATTGTCACATGCATTTTTAATACTTCGGTGAGCTGCTTGCCAAACGATGCCGTAGGGTACCCTATAAATAATGTAATATTTAAATTTAATTTTAAAACTGACCTCTTTTCAATTTCTGTATTGTATTATTCGATATATTGGTCCCAAATGGAATATTTATTAGCACTGTTATTTATTATCTCCTGTCTGATATTTCATTACTAGTATTCTGGTTGGGAAAATCGGGAAATATTAAGAGCTTATATCGAACATAATTACAGTAATATATGTATATTTTCAATTCATGAAAATGGAATTAATATAACATGCACAGGCGAAATAACTTTTAAAATTTTATAAAATATTTGTGTATTATAAAGATAATGTAATTATTTAAATAATTTAAACTTTTGTTTTAATATATAAACAATAAATATTTATGAGATATTTACTTTTTCAAGTAAAGTTCTATGAATTGTTTGTGATTTCCGCTTCCGCAATTTGCGAGCAGACAGTCATAAAGTAGTAGAAATGTTTGAGCTAGTTTTTATATCCTAATATTTACAATTCATACATATGTTCATTACTTATCACCCCTTAAATAGAGGATTTGGAATTTGAATGAAATTTTAGGTGTATATTTCAATGAGTTCACTGAAATCATTAATCAACTAAATTAATGGAGTTAGTCTAGAAATTTTCAAACTTTATTAATAAACAACATTTTTTTATGTTCATAAAACTGAGTTAAATGAAGAACTGAACTATTTCATTATTAGTATAAATACTTTTTCCGTCACTATTATTCAGTGAATATGAATTATATATTTGTGTATATTACCACATATTACTAAACTTTCAAATATTTTTGAGTGTTCCTGAATGGTTTGTAAACATATTTGGACCCGGTAGATGTTTATGAGGGTAGAACGACATCCACCGGATACGCTAGGTATATACATATATACCTGGATTAACTTTAGTATTAATATGTGATAATAGCTACGTTTTATAACAAAACTCCACACAAGTATTTCTCAATACAAGAAGAACCATTAGTAGAAATTGTTGTTTATGAAACTGTATACCTTCCGATTGATGAACTTCTACAGTAGGCTACAATAGTAAGTTTGTAACTTTACAACTTGCGGCAAATAATAACTAACTTACCACCGAGTTGTTCTTCGGAACAACTAACGAATGCTATAAGTTATTAGACTCATAAATGGTTCATTTACTGTTAATTTAACTTTTGCTAGATGTTCTATAGTTTCATAGTAACCCATATAAAGCCATAGTACCTACTACATCTAATTGGTCTGGACTAGCCCTAATGCGTATATTAAAATGCATTACAATCTCGCTTGCAGCTCTTATCCTACAAGAAGTGGTGAGCGGTTTAGATCGCATCGTATGTAGGCAAAACGTCAGGGAGAATAATAACAGTAAAACCCTGGACAATTCATACAACGCCATCTAATACAACCGAAGCAGAGCTTGTGTTATGGCAAGATAACTGATATAAATACTTAGATATTTCTTTTTGTAAATACATACATAACATACATAGAAAATACCTAGATACCGATACAAACAATCATACTCAGGAATACAAATGTTTGTACCGTCGAGAAATTAAACCCGCAACCATCGGAAGTAAAGCAGTGAACTAAACCGCTAGACCACTGAGCCCGTCGATGCAATGATAACAATTTTAAAATAACAAATATCCTCAGGCGATCTAGTGCCTTCCACCATTGAGCCTATATCGCCACCAATTTCAGGACCTCGTGTAGACTCGTCTTATTTTTTTTTTTGTAGCTGGAAAGTGCATACAAGCTGACGGCCAACTAATGGTAAATGGGAACAATTACAGTACTATAGACTGAATGGTATTCGCGGTACCACTTAAGCTTGGCTATTCCGGAAGTTAAAGTTATGCCATACCCTATAATATGATGTAGAGGCTTTCGACATCAAAGATAGTGCACACACCTATTCACATACACTACTTCTCTATTTCTATTGTCGCGAGACTGTCGCATGGGGTTCTTTGAGACGTGAAAAATGATTTTAAGGGTGGCAATGCGCTTGTAACGTTCTCGGTACATTTTCGCCACATTTAAGGATCTCATGTAGTCTATAATATGTATAATAATACTTACCTCGAAAGAATAGGTACGAATTTGTAAGAATGGATATATTAGATTATTTGCCTTAAGTATTATATAGATGTAACAACTAGTATCAGTTATTGCTTTATATTATTGAATAGCTTATCCACATAACGCGTGAGAGTGAGGCGTTCTCAAAAGGAATAAATTTTCCACGTTTACTCTAGTCGTAGCATGACGTTATACAGCTTATTGGCTTCTGCGATAAACATGCTATCAGACTTCAATAGACATTTTTTAATTCGAATTTTATTATATTAGTAAGTCCAAACATAGAAACTAACTCTTCAACTTTATACCATTAGTATTGATTACTTAAAAAATATATACTTTTAATTACTACAGTATAAAATTTCTCGTATACTAGGATATAAAATGTGTCAACAATGTAGTACAAATGAATTGTTCTCATATATAGCCACTAAAACTCTATGGAGACAATGTAAAACTGTCTTAGTGAATACTATGTAGTTTTAAGTTACGACGATTGTTCACTTAAAATTAGCAGTATCTACTATTTAATTTTGTCTTTCATTTCACAAAATTAAAAATGCGGATATTTTACATTAAAATATTAATTGTAATAATAAAACTAATTAATAAAATTATGAAAAAACTCTTATTCTGGGACTTCATTTATGTAGGTTGTCTATAAGAGACTGGTTTTAACGATAAGGCCTTCGTTTGCTTAACATATTTGTGAAAAATTTTCTTTTTGGAAATATAGTTCTATGCACAATAAAGTGTTATATTTTTATTATTTATCTACGTAATGGAACTTAAAACAATTATTGTTAGAATTTTTGTTCGTTGGTTTGTACGTTTGTGTGAGCTAATTTCAGAAACGGCCCAACAGATCGGGGTGCGGATTACACTAATTGTGTTAACTGTATTTGAAATTGTCTTTAATATAAAATAGTTACGGGTATGAAGTCGCGTGTCAGTTAAATATATCTATCGATTATTAAAATAATATATTTTTAGAAGCACTCTACAATTTGACTTTCACATTTGATCGGACAACGGATTGACATCTGTCAGTTAACATCAATTCGAAACAATATAAAACACGATGGGGTTATCCATATATACAAAAGACTTTATCGTCACCTGTGATTTCATAATAGAATTAGTCATTTCAATAAAAATAAATAAAAATCGTCTGGTTGACGTTGACGTTTCATATATAAATGGGTATAAATATGTTGAACTTTTCAGAAAATTCACATATTTTAAATATGAATCAACAAGTAAACTGAAGAAATTTGGAAAAATATCTCCCAAACAACAGCAATTTATATTTTAAAAAAACTCGACTCGCCTCCTATAATTTAATTAATTAAATTAATTTATTGTTGTCATTTTAACATTATCAATACATGGCGATGTTCAAATGTACACGTCTAATGAGAATATGCAGTCAATAATAAATAATACCCGATTAAATTAAAAATATTCTTTGTTAAATATAAAATACTATATTTATAATGAAGATAACCGAAATACATATATTCTATATATTATAAAATAGAGGAATATACATAGAAAACTCTAAGGCTGATAACAATAATCATAAATAAGAATACAATTTTTTGTAACGTGCGAGAAATCGAACCGGTGAGCATCGGAAATACAGAAACCCCCCCTCCATGGAGTCATTAAAAATAATAATATTTAATTTATTTAAAATCATATTTTTATATTATGCCAGTTGGGAAAAAGGATATTAATTGTTTGTAGAGAAATAACTCTGTCACCCTGTTCAAAAAATAACTCCAACATCCAAAAGAATGAACATATAAATGAAAATCTAAATGACTATGAATACTAAACTGAAATTTATTACCCTTCAAAAGACAAAACATCTCATCCACGAAACAGCAAAATAGTCGTCCCTTCAACATATGGAAGTATAATCTAGTATAGGTTACTGACATAGGTACTAAGATTCAACTAATATCAAGCTCGGATAACCAGCGGATAACGCTAGAACAATTTCAGCCCAGACTCCGGTTTCCATTTGATGTAACAATCGACGTCGCCAGTCAACAATCTCGCGTTTTATTTGGACCGAGTCACGCAAACATTGGTACAAGTAAAATTGAACCTGAAAGATTGTCTTTCAGGTTCAATTTTACTAACTTGCTAACAGGAATTAATACGGCATAACGGTTGAACTTTGATGAATGAACTCAGTTTATTTGCCTCGTAGACTGGCAGCCCAAAAGTTGTTTGAAATTGAACTTTGAATAGAATACATATAAAATAAAAGTTTTTCAATACCATCAGCGTTAAGGTTCTTATTCCCAAGAGGTTCGGCAAAATTGTCTCGTGGAATTGACAAATTCAATTATGAAATCGTGAACTTCTATTTATATACTTGATAGTAGGTAACTAGAGATATTGTCAGTAAATGTATTAAAATATGTACAATAAGTGTATTAAAATATAAGTACATTCAACGGGGAAAGGGTTATAGTTTTTACATTAATTTTAATTTGTAATTATCAATTATTTATTTTATTGTATTGTGTTATTAACGTATTGTTTAAGTTAAAATTCAATAACGTATGTTCTATTTTATTATTCAACTAATTTATTGGTGTACCAACAAATTATATATTATACATAAAAAATAAATATGAACATTATAATAAAATATAAATATATTAATCAATATAAAGATGTAGGAGCAAACAATTTACTTATTTAAAACGTACCTTTTCTTTACGACAGCTATGAGAATTACATGCTGAGTGTTCTTGATTCCTCTTATTGCCCTGAAACAAATAAATATTTAAATGTTAAAAAATATTATGGGTTTATATTGTTTATGTGTTAAGATTTCACATAACAATAATCGAAGGTTTACGATAAAGTTTTTACAGAATATTTTCTTTATACAGGTGAAAACCTATGGACTAATTCACGATTTCGAATCGTAAATATATTAATTTTTATTATTGGCTTTTTAATATAATTAATTAATTATTAAAATAATATAATGGCGTCAAATAGATGTTTTATTTATTATTATTGTCGTTCACAATCAATACGATCTAAACTAGTTATATTTAAAATTTTAATAGTAAATGTAATTAGAAACAGTTTACAAACATTTCTAAAAAGAATTTCTTACTTGTGTTTAACATATTTATTCCTACTCACATCAAATTACGTATATTTTTTCTGAGACTCCTTTAAGTATAGAAAACTGGCACAGTTAATGTATCACGTCGAAACCATAAAATTTGGCCCGGGAGAGTGGATATATCAAATGCTAACGTAATTGAATTAAATTGAGTTCCTTTGTGATGTGAGTTTTTATTTCCGCACGAAATGCGACCATAGAAATTCTACCTAATACATTAATAGGAACGAAACTAAGCATAATAAATTAAGAAACATCTGGAATTTGATGTTAGACTAAGAATTTGTATGTTGTATATTGTCATTATTTTCGTCTTATTATATCTCTATTATTTTACTCTTTGTTTTTGTATTTTAATCAATAAAATCCTACTAATATTATAAACATTCAAGTTTTTTACAACAAATATTGGACACACTATCAAGATAACAGTACTGGCCGGAAATGAATGAAATTATGTATAAAGCTGTATCATGTCCTACATAAACATCGAATTCCCACGGCAATGCAGAATGCAACTAGTTTTCTACTAATACTCTTAAACTTTACATAATGTAAGAATTGAGATACTCCTAATCTTATTGTCTATAATTTAATGCATATTTAAGTCAAAAGTACCAGAGTACAGGCGGAGAGCGTACAGAGTCGCAATTGTTTGCCATTTCCAGTGGTATTAAAAAGATTAGAAGATCTGTAATAAATTAATTAGTCGCCTGAAAGGAATTAATTAAGAAAACACAATACAGGGAAATGCCTACACAAGTACGCATTCTGCAGTGTATTTAATGTTTTCTCAGTTAATTAAGTAATGCGATTAAATTTTAATATGAATCTTTTGAAAGATTGAAACCTTTCAACTTCTAAGCGATCGTGTTTTATTTTGATTGATAAATGTTAAATATAAAATTATAGTGACACAGTATTTTTAATGAAACTCTACCGATACGACTTGACTGATTCGCATGAAACGTTGAGGACGTACAGTATTATTTGTATATATATATATTTCAATTTTTTTACTCTTTTTTTTACGATTCGTCTTTAGAAAATAAATAGATGTACCTATATATTACCAAAAATTTTCACCCTTCTACCATCAACTTTTTTAATAGCGATATTAATTTATATTACAAAACAATGTTTACTGGATTAGCTAGCAATTATATAACAATAATATACATACATTTAGGATTATTATCCCAGATGGGATAGTCCAAGCATGAGCAAAATTACGCTGGGAATATTTGAAGTCAAACAGACGAAGCAGACACCGCTGTCTCTTTAGTTAAATTAGATTCATACGGTTGTTTATCACTGGAGTGTTAGTCAAAACATAACTTTAATTGACACACAACATTTTTGTTGTTGACCAGAATAGAATTTATAAACTTTCCAGGTCAGTGTAGGAAACCTCTTAAAATGTTACTGAAAAATACTAAGATATTACAGAAAGAGATACAATAGACGCTCAAGAAAGGTATACAACTACATCTAGCATTTGTCCGGACCGAATAAAGCACAATGAAGTAGAAATCCTATTGAAAGGCATTAAATCTCAATGGAGACGGAAGACCTTCAGACCCAATGTTCCGGAGATCAGTCGTTTTGTGTTAGCATAAAATAATATACGCAAGAGGATTATTTAAGGAGATCATAGTGAAAATATAATCTATAGCTCTCCCAAATAATGGACACAAGTTGACTTTGGAGAATAATGTTTACATTCTAGATTGTAAATTATATGCTAAGTACACCCGTACTTAGCATATAATTTACAATGATTGTACACTTGCTGTTGCTTCAAAAATACACTTCACGTCAGTAGAAATAGAACCCTGTTTACTTTAAGACCAAAGTAAAAGGAGATCGCAATTACAACAATTTGAAAGAACATGCACACAGGTACAACGGCTGATTAGATTTTAATAATATATGGTACATAAATGGAACATGCATTAAATCAACATTTACATATGGTGTAATGATTATTTCATAATTAAAGCTGGACAATAGTAGGTATAGTAATAGGTTTTAGGAGAGAAAATATCCATTTCGTACATATGTAATTATATATTCGAAGAAGAAATGCTTTTACTGAAGCACGACCTCATTTCAATTCCAATTTTTCAAATGTTCGATTTAAGTGTTGTAAGATTGCTAATTCTAGAAGTAGAGATAAAAATGTTCTTTTATAAAAAAACGTTTACATGGATGCTTCTTTGGCATCGCAACGAACGGAATGGACTATTTTCAAGTCCGTTTTTTTAATCTATCTAATGGGTCTAAAAAAAGTGTTAAGAGCTAAATAATATAGTAAGAATTAGAATTTATGTATTATATTATCTGTGATTGAGATAAGTGATTAACACTCCAATGATCGTTTACAGCTCTAATAAGTTAGTAACATAACTAACTTAAAGTTCGGATATAAGTTGTTTGATGGATAGATGGAACATTTTCGTCCCGATCTAAATAAATTTTTTTTTTTTATTAAAATTAATATACTCTACACAAAACCTTTTTAAACATAAATAAAATTGAGAATAATATACATAGAAAGAGAGATAGAGAAAGGCAGAATTCGTTTTACGTATTTCGTCAATTAAATATTGAGTCCCAAAAAGTTTAGATGAAAAAGGCAGTATGCTATTTGTATAAATTATATTGACTTGTACAATAATTTAGTGTTGATTTGGTGTCTATAATTAAGTTGGATTAATCTTAGTAAGTTATTAGAAGTTTGTCTCGTTTTTCATTGAAAGTTCAGATGGTGATTGAGTGTCGAACTTTGCATTGCCAATAGACTCCAGGGATATTTGCATGTCTTTCTTTGGATTTGCACAATCTCTATATTCATCTCTTCGAGAAAGACTAAACAGCTCAAATTGTATTAGTACTATGAATGCTATTTTTATCAAATTTTATCGAAACTAAATAGATATAATTAATTAAAATAATCATAGTGCGTCATTTAGTATGGATACTAAATAACTGATATTAATACTTAATGTTTATTTTGTAAATAAATATTTACTAATACAATAATATGTATAGCTCGGGAATCGAAGCCACGGTAATCAAAAGTCAAGTCGTGAGTCGAATAATGCACCCGCCTGTGCTAACGGTATACGCTGTCCGTGAACCAGTGTAGGATAAAATCATTACCAATTTTCAATTGTAACGGAGTGAAATCTACAATTTTGCAGTTATTTATGGACAATTTAACAATTGCAATAGTGAACAAGATAACTTAGCTAATATTTGCAGATTTCAAATGATTAATAGAAAATCGCAATCAAAGATTTTAATACGTCACAGTTGGGAATTGTTAATAACATCGTTATATAATTAGGGTTCAGGTTGCAATGTGGAGATTTCTTCCGAAATTAATCATAATGGTTCAAGGATCTCGTGTAGTTAAATCTGACATACCTAGTCATAGTGAATTGCTTGAAATGGAGATCACAAATACCAATTATAATATTACCAATCTCTTTCTCCCACGATGTGTACCTACTATTAAATGAAGGACAAGCTCATAATTTTCCCATAGCTCCTTTACGCTAACATTATAATGATGAGTCAGGGTAGAAGTATCTACCTCTGCTTTGTTTAGTTTTGATGTGGGCATTAAGTTCACCGCGCTAGCGTAAGGGACTATACCGTGTTTAATTAATGTAAGCCCCCTGAATTCATATTTTGAGCCCCATTTCCTTAATCTACTGCGAGTATAAGTTTCACAAGGACGATCTTGCTGATAATTAATTAATATAGTCCTATCTTATATTTTGAACAGTTTTTGTCAGTTTATAAAAACTACCTCGGTGGTCTAGCGGTCTAACACACCGCTTTACGTCCGATGGTCGCGGGTTCGATTCCTCGCACGGCACAAACATTTGTATTCATGAGTATGATTGTTTGTGTCGGTCTGGGTGTTTTCTATGTATATTAAGTATGTATTTACGAAAAAAAATATCTGTGTATTTGTATCAGTTATCTAGTACCCATAACACAAGCTTTACCTAGCTTAACTTGGGTCTAGATGGTGCTGTGTGAATTGTCCTGAGATTATTATTATATTATATTATTATATATATACATGATATTAGGTAAAAAATAACGAAATAATGGTATACAATGAATTTACTATCACAACCCCAAAGATTAGTAAAGTGCATGAGCAGATCATATTTTAATAGTGTAGGTAACATACTACATGGCTTTTTGTTCATATATATGTATATCGCGTCCTAATCCTCGTTACTAATAAATGTTTCCTTGCGTTGTCTGAAACATCCCTGAATTGAAACAGAGTTCTGGGCGTGTACCAATTGTCCTGAAGAATGACGTCAGCCACGCCTCTATCAGGTTAGAAGATTAGAAACACGCGGACAATTAATACAAAGATAAAAACATACATGATATACTCGTATATGTTCGAATATATTTGTAGTTGTTGACTTTCATTGGTTTATTACTAAAGTTTATTTTATTTTAATGACCTACGTACAACTGCAAAATTATGGATGAATAGAATCGAAAGTAATCTTCATTTAAATAAATGTTTAAATTTGCTTAATTTTATGGGTCTTTTTTTCATAACTTTACTGCCATGTTCGGAATGGGTAC